GAATACATGTGTGCTAAGTCGCTTCAGTTGGGTCTGACTCTTTGCAACCCCATGGACTATAGCCCACCAGGTTCCTCTGTTCATGGGCTTCTCCAGGCAAGAGTACTGGAGTGGGCTGCCATGCTCTCCTTCAGGGGATCTTCCTGACCTAGGGATCGAACCCACATCTCCTGCAGCTCCTGTGTTGCAGGCAGGTTCTTTACTGCTGAGCCACCAGGGAAGCCCACGGGTGAATGGTACTCCCTCAAATCCATGTCCACCCAGGGCCTGTGAATGGAACCTTATCTGGAGACAGGGCCTTTGCAGATGCAGTCAAGTTAGGATGAGACCATTTTGTCTGGCCTTAATCCGATATGACTGGTGTCCTTATAAGATGAGACAGTTTTGGATACAGGGAAAAAGCCATGTGGTGACAGTGGCAGAGAGATGCAGCCACAAGCCCAGGAAGCACACATTGCTGGCACCACCAGAAGCTGGAAGAAGCCTGGAGCAGATTCTCCCTCAGAACCTCCAGGAAGAATCAACCCTACTTTGGTTTTGAACTTCTGGCCTCCAGAATTGTGAAAAAATCAATTGCTGTTGTTTTAAACAACTGCATTTGTAATTCATTACGGCCTTCATGTACAGCCTTCTTCCCTGCATGCCCCCTGCTCTGAGTGTGCTCTCTGGCTTCATGACAGGAAGGTGTGAGATGTGTGGTTCACGGGGTGGACGAAAGGGACCCATGTCCTTCGGTGCCTTCCAGCGTCAGGTGAGGTGTATAAAATATGAGGTTGTTGGCAGAGGCCATGGTACTCGTCCATGCAGGTCAGCACACATTTCACTTCCAGGACTGCTCTCCACGATGCAGTCAGACACAATTATAACTGCACCACCCCCCGGCTACCCGTTTTTCTTTTTGCTTGAGACTTTTGAAAGATAGAATTTTCTGAAATTCCTGTGTTTGTAGGGGGCCAAGGCACTTGTTTCACATCCCCAGCTGGCCAAGCACATCCTGGTCCCTCATGAACATCTTGTCCTGGCCAGGCTTGTGCTTTCATAAGGATGATATTTCTCTGTGTTCTTTTGTGGTCATTTGAAGAGGCCACCAAAGAGGAGGCAATTAAATTATGCAGCCAAAAAAAAAAAAAAAGAATGGTCAGTGGTGTCAATTAATTTCAAAACATTGTTACTTCCTGGATATTTTGGATGCTTTATAAAATTTGTAATTTCTTTTCTCATTCCAAATAAGCATTTGCTTCTGTCTCTGGTTTTGTACTGGTGATTTCTTGTTGGTTTCCTTAGAGAGCCCCTCTTGGTGCGCACGAGCTCTGGCTCGCCTGGGCTGCTCAGGCTGCCCGTGCCTTGGAGCGAGCCTCCCTGCTACACTCTAAGGTGAGCATGAGGTGGATCTGGGGGCTGGACACACGGCCTTCAGGCTGGGTCCCTATCAGAGCCCCCCCAACATCATCCAGGATAACTCACAGCCTGCCTCCTGCTCCTCTCAGAAGCTCAGGGCTGACTTCTCATGGGAATGTCTAGTTAGGATAAAATGAGTGTTGCTCTTTTGTGTGGTTATGTTTGTAGCTCATGTCAACAGCGTTGAGTCTGCAGACTTCATTCTGTTTCTGTTTTTGCTCAGCTCCCCTTGACAGTAAATGACCATTTTAAAAAGATTTTCATATGCCGTGGCATCATGTCTGTTTTCTGTTTGATGAGCATGGGATTTCACATTAACTAACAGCATAATTCACACCTGAAGGGGCATTTTGAAATCTCAGGCTTAAGTGGTTGATCTGTCTATTTCTCCCAGTGGTTAAGTCCTTCCTGTTCGTACCTATTTTGCTAATTTTAGATACATGGGTACACGTTGGTTATGTTTTTGTTCTGTTGCTGCTTTGCCAGCAGTACTATTTTGTCAGAAAGTAGAATTGATAACCCTGGCTTTCTTGTAGTTCATGTTTGCTTTTTATATGTTTTCCGTATTTTTTGTCCCAAAAGTGTCTTGTTGCTCTTTGAAGAAAATATAGTGTTGAATCTTTTCTTTTAAATCCAATTTGAGACTTTCTTTTAATTTGAGAAGTTTAGCCAGGGTTTTGGGGCAGGCCAACCTGGAGTGGAAGGAAGGTACCCCTGGGCCGGCTGAGACCCTCCACTCCAACCCCTCTGCCCACCATGCCAGCCCCTCCCCATTCGCTGCAGTCCCTGGCCAGCCCCTGTGTCAGGACGGTAGTGGCCATGCTCGGGCTTTGGGGGCCTAAGAGGGGAGGAGCCAATGCCTAGAGGCCCGTGTTTCCATTGCTATCCCCAGTGCCAGGCCAGACTGGGCCAAGCTGAACTCTATTTCTCCCGTTATAAAAGCCCTGCGTTGGAACCCCCAAAGCTTCAGTCTGAGGATGGGGGTTGCTGCCTGCAGTCAAGGACTTTGCCTCCAGCTTGCAGGGCCTCAGCCCATACCTGTACAGGTGGTGGAGCATGTGCTGTACAGAGGCCACTCTGAGTGCTGACCCGAGATGTCTTAGTCCTCATGCCCGCCCCCCCACCCCCAGGTAGAGCAGCCCCTGCCCTCCTCTTTTTTTTTTTACCCTCCTTTTTTATTGATTGATTTATTTATTGGCCATGCTGTGCAGCTCTCAGGATCCTAGTTCTCTGACCAGGGGTCAAACCTGGGCCTTTGGCAGTGAAAGTACAAAGTTCTAACCACTGTACTGCCAGGGAATTCCTTGCCCCCATTTGACGCTGAGGAAATCGAGGCCCAGGGATAAATGTGGGGAGAACCAAGACCCAGAGCGCACTCAGGCTGTCTGTCACAACAGAAACAAAGCCAGCAGTATTTAAATGCCAATGTGCTTATATGTATGTAACACGCCCAGCAAGCATGGGGCTCGCTGTGGGGCAAGGGGCACATAGAGGAGGGACTCAGCCCTGCCCTCCCTAGAAAGGAAAGAGAAGCAGACAATGAAGGGTGATCATGCGAGGGGAGGATGGTGGGCAGCATGACCCCCAGCACAGACCACAAGGAAGGCAGAGGATGGAGGGGGCACGAACGCTGGTTGCTGGGGTGGAGTCCAGTGGAGAGATGTGTCCGATGACAAGGGCTGATGGGCTGATGGTGCTGTCTGCTTTTGTCTCAGGAGCTGGGAAGAGGCTAAAGCTACAGTGGGAGCTGAGGGTGGGGACCATGGAAAAGGCACTCATTGTGACTGGGAAACCACAGAGTCCAGCTCTTTGTAAATTATTATTATTATTTATTTGGCTGTGCCAGGTCTTAGTTGCAGCACTCAGGATCTTTGATCTTCCTTGTGGCATGTGGCATCTTTAGATAGCGGCATGTGGGATCTTTAGATAGTGGCATGTGGGATCTAGATCCCTGACCAAGAGTTGAACCTGAGCCTCCTACACTGGGGGCATGGAGTCTTAGCCATTGGACCCCCAGGGAAGTCCTGAACCTAGCTCTTGAAGGGAGCATGGGCCCACTCCCCTAGTTTACAGATGGGAAAACTGAGTCCCAGAGGGGCAGGACTTGCCCAATGACATGCTGCTGAGTGGTCAAGAGCGGGGACCAGAAGTCAGCAGGTAACAGGGGAACACCTGCTGTCCTTGGCTCAGTAGGGCGGCCTGCCTTTCCTCGGGACCCTGGGAGATGGGGGAGCTGTGTTCCTTGTCTCTGCCTCCCCATCTGGGTCCCAGCTGCAGGTCCTGGTACTCTCCATAAGAGCTGTTGAGATCACATCCCAAGCTGCCCATCCCAAAGCCAGTGTGTCCCAGTGACTCCCTGCTCCAGTGACACACACCCCACAGCCAGACAGAACCACCTCTTCTGTTCTTCCATTACTTCATCTGTGTAGACATAATAGTGCTGTCAGGGGTTTAAGCAACCACATACACCTGTCTGTACTTTATAAATGTGGGGTAACACATATACTCTGCACCAGCTTGTATCCTTATGGCATCTTGCAAAGGTCCTAGCATGATGTTTCACTCTTCATGGGATCTTTTTAACACCTGCTGCATGTGCACACCATAATTGATAGAGCAGTTCTCCTATTTGGACATCTAGGTAGTTTTTCAGAGGCTGATTTTCTTATTGAAAGCAACACTGCCATGGCTATCATTGTAATCTTGTTTCTGTGACCAAAGATCATGTCCCCAAGACTCAATTCCAGCTAAAAGGAACATCATTACTTAAAGACATTTTAAACTTTGCAAACCCAGTGGATGAAGGGCTTTCTCATTTCAGTTGGTGGGCAGCATGGTCTACCAGTTCTTGGCGCCAGGTCCAGGAGGATGCAGCTACAGTTCACACCCATGCTGGGTGCACCTGTTTCCCCACGGTCGGTTCCCCAATTCCCGTCACACCCCAACATGGACGCACACTGGGAGCAGCCCAGTTAAGAGCCCACCAGCTCTGTGAAAACTTTCAGATCACTGCTCCCCTTCCTCTGTCCCCAGCTCACCCTGTGGTGGAGGCCAGCAAGGCTGGGAGGGCTCCGGTGGATTTGCACCTTCTCAGCCATAACAGGAACTGCAGTGAGTTTGTGTCCCCTGGCCCCTCCCTCCTTCCTGAAAATCTCACACAGAATCCTTTAGGCTGCAGAAATCCTCAGTGACGCCAGAGAAGGTGTCAGGCAAGCCTCCCTGCCTCGACTCTGAACTGGCTGAGAAATAGACACTGGAGTTGGAAAGGGGAGAAGAGAAGTCCTTTATTTCTGGCAAGGCTTGACTGGGGTCAGAGTTCAGGTCCCAGTCCCCCAGTTGACCACTGCCCCAAGGCAAGTCTATCCTTCAGAGCAGCCTCTTCTGCCATGCAAGGGCCAGGGTAGCCGTGGGACAGAGAAGTTTCCTTCCCGGTGGTTCCAAGGTGCCAGGAGCAGCCTCAAGGGTGGGAGGCAGGCAAGGAGGGCTTCCTGGAGGAGGCTGTGGGAGCCTGACTACTGTGGGAAGCTGCCTGTGTGTTCGTTCTGGGTGGATGATCTGCCCAGAGCTCTGCTGGACAGAGGCAGGCCTGGGGTCCTGCGGGCTCACTGGTACTGGTTGGGGATGGACATGGTGTTACAGCGGCTGTGGGACATGTCCTCATAGACCACGTACACTGGGCTCTTATCCTTCGCACAGCAGAGTTTCTGGATCTGAAAGAAAGCCTGCTGTCTACCCACTGGGGCAGCTTGCTCAGGAGCATCCTCTGTCTTCAAGGCATTTCCCCTCAGGAAGCTTTTATAATAGATTTGGGGGCCTGCATGAAGCCGTTCCAGGAGGGTCCTCGGCCAGCCCCTCGGTTCTCCAGCGCTGCCCAGGCCTGGGTGAGGTGGGCAGAGGCAGGGCCCCGGGGGCAGCAGTGGGGAGGTGGAAGGTGGAATTGACCTTTCACCCTGGCCCTGGACAGGGAGGGGGGCCTGGCTCTCTGGGGATGTAGAGCTGGAGGTGCTGGGTGGAGGCGGGGGTGAAAGCTGAAGGACCAGGGGTGAGCTGACCACTTCCTGGCCCCTGTTTCTGTTGGCCCCTCCTCTCCCACCTCCAGCACACGATTGCATGTGGTTTTCACATGCTCACAGGCCTCACTCATGCACGCATGCACACATATGTACATGCATGCACACTTTCACAGTCACATGCAGCATGCCCATGTTCTCTGAAAGGATCTCTCTGGAACCCTCTGTGAAAAGTATTAGTCACTCAGTCATGTCCACCTCTTTGCAACTGTAGGGACTGTAGCCTACCAGGCTCCACTGTCCTTGTGGATTCTCCAGGCAAGAATACTGGAGTGGGTAGCCATTCCCTTCTCCAGGGGATATTCCTGATCCAGGGATCAAACTCGGGTCTGCTACACTGCAGGCAGATTCTTTACCCTCTGAGCCACACTGAACCTCGCTAATCCCCCTTAAATAGCTGACCAAGACCTGTGTTCCTGGCACCACGACCATCCCTGCAGGTGGTTCCAGTTCTCGAGCTTCCTCTCACCTTGGGCCTCGCCATCCAAACCCTCTAAGTTCCCAGGGCCTCTGACAGAAGGAGTGAGTGGGTGCTGGGGTTTCCCATGTGGCCAGATCCCTGAGGCTTACCCACTTGCCTTCCCATCATGCTCTCTGAGAGGAGTAGGCTTCTAGGGACACTGGTGACACCTGAGGGTCCATACTGACCTGTGTTCTTTTCAGCACACACACTGCTCCCAGTCCCAGCCCGATGAGGAAGAAGCCCACAGCCAGGGTCGTGGGGAGGGCAAAGTGTATCAGCCAAGACTCCTGGCACGTGTTCACTGCCTGGGGCAGTTGGTCTGGGAAGAAGGAACAGAGACAGGCATTCGGCAGGCGAGGGAGTCCTTGGGAAACTCTGCGGTTCAGGGCAGGGTAGGGCTTTGGAAGTGTGTATGGGGGTTGGGGTGGGGGGAATCCAGGAGGCTTCCTAGAGGAGTTGGGCTCATGTTGGAATGAGTAACGCAAGCAAACTTAGAGGGAAGTTTCCCAGACAGGGGCAGATGGAGGCCATGCTGGCGAGTGGCAGGTGGAGAGGTCCCAGGGCTGGTACACTCCCTACCTGTCACCATGACCAAGGTGCCAGGACCAAAGATCTTATCATCCATTATGGCCACGCAGGTGTAGCCACCGGTGTCAGCCAATTGCAGGTGGTACAAGCTGACGGTCAGGTTGTGTTGCAGCCCTGAGAAGGCAATGCGGCCCTGGAACCGCGGGTCCACGGTGGGCTCCAACCCATCTTCATAGTAAATCACATCGCTGTTGCTTGGCCACGTTTGTTTCAGGTAGATGCCATGCAGGGTGCCCGGGGTGGAGCAGGTGATGTTGACGGAGTCCCCCTCTAAAACGATCATTTTGCTGGGGGACTGCCACACCTCTGCAAGGAGAACCCACCACCATTACCACTGGCCTGGCCAGAAGGGCAGAAACCCATCTCTGTGCAGGGGATGGTGGCAGGGCAGAGGTGCCCAGGGACAGTCCACTGTTGACATGTCACCAAGGATGAGGCAAATTTTGGAAGCCTTGAAGCAAGCAACACATGATGCCAGCACCCTGGGCTGTCCTCAAGTTCCAGAGGGATCCCAGAGGGCCAGGCCACCTGTGACCTCTCCCCACCCCAAAGGTCAGGGGAAGTTGAAGATAGGGCCTCTTCCTTCCAAAGCACTCAGACCTCCAACCACTCTTCCCGGTTCTACACCTTCTCCCCCTCTTAAATGGCAGTTTCCCGCAAGAGCCAGGGGCACTGTCTTCTCTCCCTGTTTCTTTTAACACCAACTGCCTCAGTTTCCCCACCATTTCCAGGCACCCGAAGCCAGTGTCTCCACGGGGTGGGCACATCCTGGTTCATCCCTGAGATACCCCCAAATTTCCCTCGTCTGCCCAGCAGGGCCCAGCAGGGCCAGCTTCCAGCTGCAAACATAATCCAAAGATTGACTTCTCCAGAAACTAAATTCTACAGCGCTTTTTGGGGGGAGGGGGCACCAGAACTGTGCCCATCAAGTTCCCCGTCCCACTTTGCGGAACTAAGGTCTCTTTCTCACTGCAGAACTTTGCACAAAAGGCAAGCAGAAGGATGGTGTTTTCTCAGGACAAAGATAGCCTTGATGCTTGTAGGAGAAAATTCAGATAAAGAGAAAGAAGAGTTTCAACCGCAGAGACTCTGCACCCAGACATTAGCAACATCTTGATACCTATGGTTTTGGGTCCAAGTGTCCAAGGCTGGACCTGACCGGGGCCCCAAGGGAAGGTCTCCTCAAAGTCACCAGCGATCACCCCCTTCCCCGGAAAGAGAGTCTGAGGTGGGGAGGGGAGGGCTGAGGGGAAGCGCTAAGCCTGCTAGGGGGGTGTGGTGGGGATGGGGTAATGGAGAGTCGGGAAGCCTTACCTCGGGAGGCCTGGAGCAAGGGGAGCAGCAGGAGCCTCAGGAGCCCAACCATGCTCACTGCAGAAGGAAGAGCAGGGGCCCCTCTCACCGAGGTGTCACGGTTCTTCCTGTCTGTGGCGCCCAACGGCGTGCCACCGCCGCCTCCCAGTGCCACTTTCAGGCGCTGTGGGAGCAAGATGGAGCCGGAGGTAGGCAGGGGGGCTGCACACAGTGACGGGCGGTTGAGCCCTCCAGGAAGGCTTGCTGGAGGTGGTACCATGAGTGAGGGGACGTGCTGTAGGTGAGGCTGGGAGGGGCAGTGCTCCTCCCCAGCTCTGAAGGCTGAGGGCTCACGTGTAGATCTGCGATCCTGGCCCTCTGCCCCAGTGGCACACCAGGGAGTGGAGAAAGGAGGGCAAGAATGGGCAGGGGCAGCACCGGGAGAAAGACAAGGGGGTCCCCAGGTGGGGGTGGGGGTCAGGTTCCAGATGCCCGGCTCTTCTGGTTCACTTTCTGCTGGGACCTCTTTATGTCCAGAAACTTGGAGTATCAAGTCAGTCACCACTGCAGCTGGGGGCTGGGTGTGGTCTTAGGGAAAGGCCCGGGGCTTGTGCCAAGGTTGTGGCTGCCCAAGTGGCTCACGAGTCTCCTTCCTGTGGGCGCCAGGGCTGGAGACCGCTCCGCTGGGCTACCATCCAGTATGTTCGTGCACCAGGGTCCTGGTGAGCAGCCGCCAGGCCAGAGGGAGACCCATGCCTGGACCCTGACCCCGAAGGCTCAGAAGTCCTTGAAGAAGAGACAGACTGTGGGCAACCAGGAAGAGGAAGACATTTCTCTGTCCTGGGGTCCTTGGACGAGAGGGCCAAGCTTCCAGTGTTGGCCCCAAAGCCACATGTGGGTGTGCTGGGTGTGTGTACATGGCTCACGCGTGGGCAGACAGCCCTAAGATATTTCCTCCCTGGAAAGCCCCTCCTCTGACTGGCTGCTCCTGTGCTGATGGCTCGGGGTCCTGGGTGAAGTTTGGGGTGGGGGCAGATTAGGTTTGCTGGGCTGACGGCCCCTGGTGGGGGCTGTCCACCTACCTACAGACACTTCTGGCATGAGCGAGTATCTATTTCAGGGGCAGATCTTGCCAAAGACCCAGAGGATCCTAGCAAAATTGTTGGCAGGAAGCAATAACAGCATCGGGCTTGTCAAACCCGCCGCATTCCAACCTCATCCTGCCTTTGTTCATCACCAGCACTCCCTGGGCGCCCGCACCTGCCAGTGATGGTGCCAAGGGCAGAGGGTGAAACGGACTAGACGCCCGTGGCCTGACTCCAGGGATGGACGAGCAGACCCGCGGCAGGACACACAGCTCCTGTTGGGAGAGGGGTGCCCAACCTCAAGGGGCCATAGGAGTAAAGCACTGAGGAGGTGAGAGAGGGTCAGGTGGTCTGTCTGGGAACAGGGCTCCAAGCAGAGGCATCAGCACACGCATGGTCCCCGAGGCCAGAGAGAGCCTGGGGTTTCTGAGGGCCTGCGTGGCTGAGGAGGAGCAAGGGGGGCCTGGGGGAGGGTCTCTAGGGCACTGCAAGGACTCAGAGCTAAACTTCCTTTAGAGAACTCCTTGAACGTACAGATAAGCAACGAGTGAAAATTAAAATCGGTCAAGGACCCAGACACAGTATTTCTTTCTAGGTTTCCTACCTTGGGTGTGCAGGGGCTGAATGACTTAATGTGGGCCCGTCCCACGGTGATAGCAATATTAAAATGACCTTTGAATGACTTTCAAAGCATCAACACCTTTGGTCTGTTTTAGGTAAAATGGAACAGACTTTCACGGCCCCCAAAGCATGGTGGTCCCACATACCGTGCCCACTGTGTCTTAGGGGCCTGGCCCAGGGGGTGGAACAAACCCACCATTTCTGGCATGAACCTTTCTTTAACCTGGGAGATGCAAATACAGTCAGTTCTAGACCTGGACTCTGGGTGCCAGTGAAGCTGTTCTGGGATTGTTACCCTCCTGTGAGGACACAGTCGCCAGGCAGCATGCATTGTGTCCAATCTGAGATTCTCCATGATGAGGGAGGCCTCCCAGATAACTAGCCTTCTGGATGTATTTGGACTTCTTTTTTTTTTTTTTTAATATTTATTTATTTGGCTGTGTCGGGTTTCATGGGCTCTCTAGTTGTGGCATGTAGGCTTAGCTGCCCCACAGCACTTGGGATCTTAATTCCCTCACCAGGGATCGAACCCACATCCCCTGCATTGCAAGGTGAATTTTCAACCACTGGATCACCAGGGAAGCCCTCATTGGGACTTTTTAGCTTTTAGGACTCACAGCAGCTTCTTTCAGATTTTTGTTTTTTTCATTTAAAGATATATTTCTCGGCTCATTCAATGATTTGCTAGTAGGTTTAGTGTATTCATCTTGAAGATTAGCAGTGTGGATCTTTGCTTTGCAAAGCACTGCATGTAGTACTTCTAGAAAAACCTTCTTTTTATCACCTTATATGTACCTTTTAAGAATACACTCAATGAACCACCAAACCAGCTCTATCTTTAAAGGAACTTCTCTACGCTGAGAAGGAAAGGCCACAAAGAGAAACAAGAAAAGGATGAAATGGGAGGGCTCACCAGTAACGGCAAACATACAGTAAGAGTAGGAAGCCATGCACACACTCAAACATGATATCAAAACCAGTAATCATGAGAGGAGCAGAGTACACATGCAGGATATTTGAAATGCATTGGAAAGGAAGAGATCAGCAACTTAAAACAATCATGTATGTATGTATGCATGTATATATAGACTGCTGTATCAGAGTCTCATGGTTATGGCAAACCAAAAATCTATTAATATCATAGATATACACACACAAAAGAAAAAGGAATTCAAGCGCAGCATAAAGATAGTCATCAAATCATAAGAGAACAAAAGAGAAAAGGAAGAAAAAAAAGACCTACCGCCACCCACCCCCCACAAAAGACAATGGATACACTCACAGGAGTTATACAGTTTTTCTTGTAAAGACATCTGGCATATACAATTTGGGATACGGTTTGATATACGTTTGGGAACAGGAAGGGGCAGCAGGTAGGGCAGGTGGCAGAGAGGGGAGCCTCAGGGCTGGGGAGAACAGGGAGGTTGGACACAGATTCCACCAGCAGCCTCCCATCCAGAGGGGCTGCTCTATCCTTTGGGGGTGGTGGAGGAGGCCCCATGCATCATCTCAGGCCATAGATATCCTCATTTCGGTTCCACAACTGCTGGCAGGAAGGTCCCTCAGACTGCTTCTTATTCATGGTCCAAAGATAAGATGGTCCAAGAGGGTGTTATTCATAGTCTGAAGACATGATCAGCCGAGGACCCCATACTGGGGCATCACCCAGGTGACGGCAGCGTGGCACTCCTGCCCAGGGGAGGACCCCAGGCCTGGGTAGGATGGAGGAGGGGAAGGGTCCTGTTAGGTCAAGTGCTTTGGAACTTGAGATTTTTGTACTTTGGGCCCAAGGACCTAATAAGGACCCCTCCTTGGCGTGTGTGTTAGGGAGAGGCCAGGAGGTTGCCAAGCTTCCTAGTCCTTGGCCTGGTCTTCCCCACAGAGCTTCCGCTCTGCGTAGTGTGGTACGCTGGGTACTCCGGGCTCAGAGCCCCTTACCTGGGGAGAGAGGGAGGGACAGAGGGAGATGAGGCCATGTGCAGACACCCCTCTGTCTGCAGGTGCATCTGCAGACACATCCACTGCCCACACATCTTAGGTCTCCTGGGAGGAGCAGGAAGTCCAGCCCCCATGCCACCCTCCAGGGCGTCCTAGGGACATTGTGGACTCAGTGGCCTGTCTGGGACTGGGGCATCTGCATTCTGGGCCTGGGACTGTATTTGCTGCCTGGGGTCCTCTGGGGGAGGGGCACTGCTCTTTGGGACCTCAAATGCTTCCCACTCTCTCACTAGTCTCGGTGGATACAAGGCCGTGGGGCAGAGTGTCTATGCCGGGTCTGAGATGATCCCACGCAAGATCCCCTCCCCAGCCCACTGACCAGGCACAGTGGCCAATACCTGCTGAAGCCTGGAGAGTGGGGAACCATGCCTTCGACACCAGGCCAGCGTGCAGATCAGCAGGATGAAGAGGATGACCAGGGCGAGGATGGGGAAGACCACCTGGATCTGGCTCTTGTCCTCGGGATCAGTCTTGAGACTGCGCAGCTTCATTTCTGGGCCTGCAAGGAGGGGGTGGGACCTCCCTCCTCAGTTCACCTGTGCAGGAGCCCCTGACCCCCTTGGGGGCACCCTCGAGGGGGACATCGCCTGTGGTTGGGAAGCACATGGGTGGCAGAGTGGCAGGGGGATGGATGCATGGGATGGGCAGGGCTCCAGGCACAGAGGGTGAGGGTGTCAGAGGAGGGAAGACCCAAGAGGGCTTTCTGGGGGCTCCCCTCCTATACCCCAGGATGAAGATAGAAACACCTACCTGCGGAAGGTGTGAGGAGCAGGTCTTGCGGCTCTGCCAAAGAGACACAGGGCAGGTTGGCGGGGGCCTGCCCAGGGTCTGCCCTGACGCAGCCCCTCCGCCCCAGGTATCAGATGAGCCCTGGATACAGGAGTTCATGAAGGCCTCACTGCGTTCCCCGTCCAGGGCCCCGCTGGGTTGGGGGTGCTCCTCCCACTGTTCCTGGTCCGTGGCAAAGCTGCACCCCTACTTCCTGTCCCCAGGGCTCAGGGTCAATATGACTGCATTAGAACAGGCGAAGGGGGTGGGTGGAGGGGTGGTGACTGGGGAAGCTTTGCAGCAAAGGGGTGGGGGTGGGGGGATAGGAGGTGTGCAGGGAGGGAAGGCGCCGGCCCCCTGAGCAGACGGGGAGGGTGACCAGGCCCGCATGCCGGGGCTGCCCTGAGGAGAGGCTCAGAGGGGGCACAGACGTGGGGTGGGTGGGGCAGGGTGGGAGTCCTCTCCAGGCCTCATCGCCGTGGCTCTGGGCACCTCAGGTGGGCAGGAGTCACGCCTCTCTAGTTGTTCCGCACTCCTACCCGCCAGACAGAGAAGCTCTTGGGGCCAACCCCCGCCTCAGTCGCTCCGCTCACCCGAGACGTTCAGGGTGGTGATTTCGACATTTCTCTGGCGCCCCTTCAGATTCCACTTGTACTGCCCTGCCTGGGTGTCCTGGGCTTTCTCAATTATTAGGTGCGCCTCGCCCTCTCGAATCCAGAGCTGCCATCCATCCTGGCTGAAGTTTCCTGGGGCCTTTACACTGAAGATGAGCTTCCAGGGTGCCGTGGGGTTCGCTTGCAGGGAGATGTTGATGTGGGAGAAGGCATTGGAGATGCTGCAGTTCATCGTGGCTGGCTTGCCCCGCAACACAGAAACCACACCCCTGGTGCAGTTGGGGTGATCCCAGTCTGTGTGGGGGACAGTCACACGTGTGGATCATGGCTGGACCTCAGGACATCCACTGACTGCCCTTCCTGGGGTCACTGGCACTACCTGGAGCCTGGGCCCCTCCTGGCCTGATCTAGGTCTCTCCTCCCACACCCGGCTTGCCCCTGCTGCCTCCCCCAACCCCCGGCAGAGTTGGGACCATGCAACTTACTTCCACTCTGAGCACTCCTGAAGGTGGCCAAGAACAAGAGGACCCAGAGCATCCTGGGGGCGAGGAGAGTGGATGCTGAGGTCAGCATGGCCAGCGGGACGTGGAGGAGTTTTAAGGCGTGCCTCGTCCTCCTTACTGGTCTTTGGGATGCTCCCTGGAGGAAGGAAAGCTGATGAGTCAGAGGTCCCTCAGGCTCCTTCGGGAGCCAGTGAGAGGGGCTGCACCTTGGCCAGGGTGGGCGAGGGTCCCCAAGCCCCTCCCTCTCCACTGTGTCCTGACCCTTCTCTACACCTTTATAGTGTCTGCAGTGGGACCACTGCCAGACAGATGAGAAACACAGATGAGACAGGAAACAAGTCCCTGGGAGACAAGTCCATTTATATTGCTGGGGTTATCTTGAATTTTATATAAAACATGCAAATCTCCCTGAGCCGTGTATCCTGTAGAGATGGGTTGTGATACACAGAATCTTGAGTAACCACTTGAACCTGACACCAACCTAAGACCACCTTGGATGCTCCCAGCCCCTCTTCTGCTCTTGAATTCTGCAGCTTGGCATTTGGGGACATTTGGTCCACTCTCCAGATTTGCTTTTATCAACAAAAAGAGTCTTCCTGTGGAACTCGTGAGTTACAGTCTGGAAAGCAGAACTTCCACTTCCTCTGAAACAAATGCTCATACAGGCTTTGGCATCCAGTAAACTGACATTTGGGCTTCCCAGTTGGTGCAGTGGTAAAGAATCTGCCTGCCAATGAGGGACACACAAGAGATGAGGGTTCAATCCCTGGGTCAGGAAGATCCTCTGGAGTAGGACATGGCAACCAACTCCAATAGTCTTTCCTGGGAAGTTCCATGGACAGACTCAGACATGACTGAGCAACTCACACTTTCACTTGTCATAATGATATGTAGCTACCATTAGGTACTACACAGAGGATGAGATGGTTAGATCTTATCACCAAGTCAATGGATATGAATTTGAGCAAACTCAGGAGATAGTGGAGGACAGAGGTGTCTGGCGGGTTACAATCCATGGGGTTACAGAGAATCAGATGAGACTTAGCAACTGAACAACAAAAAGTAGCTTCAGTGCCTGAAAAATCTTCTGTGTTCCATCTATTCATCCCTCCTTCCCCCCAACTACTGAAAACCATTGATCTTTTTACTGTGTCCAGAGTTTTGCCTTTTCCAGAATGCCATGGAGTTGGTACCCTTTGGTTTTGAATTCAGTGTCTCTGATTTTTTTCCCTCACTTCGGGGGGGATTGGGCAGAAGGGCCTGAAGCAAAGGGAACTGTGGATGTAATCACTTCCAGGAGCTGGGGGCCAATTGTGACCAGCCCCAGTCCTGACTCTAGGAGACCCTGGGTCAAACAAGGAGAATGAAATGGGGAGGGACAACCTCAGGAGCCAGACCCCTATGACTGGTGCTGCTGTCTCCCGCTTCCCTTGATTTTCTAGACTTGCTTCTATTCCTAATTTATCGTCAGAAGAACAGCCTTCTTTTCTCACATATGTACAACATCTGTAGTTGAAGAAGAAAGAAGTCACCTGAGAGACACGTGTTCTTGTGCTCACACATGTATCTGCTTTTACATATGTGGAATCAGGTTAGACAACCCATTACTTGATTCTCTCTTCTCTCCCTCTGTACTGTATGTACTAGGGTGAATGTTGTTGTTGTTTAGTCGCTCAGACAGGTCTGATTCTTTGCAACTCAATGTACTGGAGCCCACCAGGCCCTTCTGTCCATGGATTTTCCCTTGCAAGAATACTGGAGTGGGTTGCCATTTCCTTCTCTAGGGGATCTTCCCGACTCAGGGATAGAACTCGCATCTCCTGCATTGGCAGGCAGGTTCTTTACCACTGAGCCATGAGGGAAGTCTGCAAGGTGGCCCCAAAACACACGTCCACCCAGAAGCTGTGAAGGTGACCTTACTCGGAAACAGAGCCTTTGCAGTCATAAAGAAAGAGGAGGTCGTATTAGAGCAGCGTGGGCCCCAATCTAATGTGACTGGCTTTCTTATAAATCTATATGAAAGAGACACAGGGAGAGGCCCGGAGCTGACAGAGGCACAGACTGGAGGGATGTGGCCACAAGCCAAGGGACACCAGAGCCACCAGAAGCTGGAAGAGACAAGGAAGGATGTTTCCCTGCAGCTGTGCTGACACCTTGATTTTGGAATCCAGCCTCCAAACTGGAGGAGGGCAAACTTTGCTTGTTTGGATCCCTTGTTTGTGGTCCTTGGTCACGGCTGCCCCAGGACACTCACACTGTCCCCTCCCTCTTTCCCCAGACCTCAGCTTTCCCCTCACTGGAATGATCAGGCACAAACCCCAGACACTGGAGGGAGTGTTCTGCGGTCGTGTTCTGTCCATTTCTCTGCGTCTGGTTCTCACTTTGTAGTGTGTTGCTGGTGAGGTCTGCCTCCCCGGATCCTGAAACCTTGACTTCAGTGGCTGCAAGGATTCCCTTTGTCTCAGCTTGTGAGCAGCCCAGGCCCCTTGGCTCCCAGCTCCGCCTCTTCCTGGCGACTCCTGTGCTGTGGAGGGCTGACCAGCTCATCCTGGTCCTGTTCCTCGCGTTTCCACATTGTCACTGCCTTTGCAAACCCTTCACTCATCCTCCTGGGACTGTCTGTCTTCTCCTTACAGGTTTATAAGACTCACCCCTTAAAGAAACAAACTGCCTTCCAGGATAAGTATGTGTCCATCACCATTTCTCCCCGGGTCATCTGTGGAATAAAGACTCCACGTGTTTATATTGTCCTGTCTGTCTTTTCCTTGAAGGCTTCAGGGTTTTCTTTTAAAGTAGTTTTTGTTTGTTTGTTTAAAGTATCCTTTTTAAAAGGCTTCCCAGATGGTGGAATATCCATCATGGTCAAGTTTTGTCTATTTTTATGCTCAAATCTTGAATATTCCTCAAGGTCTGTTTGTAAGCGGCATGTCACAGGTCTAATTTTGCTTCCTTTCCAGGAGGACAAGTGGTGCCTGGGGCACTGAAGAGTGAAGCTCCCTGTCCCCCTGGCCAAGGCACCCCCACCATGTGGGGCTATTCAGGCTCTGCCAAGCCACGAGGTACAGTTACTATGCTGCCCATTGTGCGTTTTCACCCCTGGGAAGCCAGGTTCTATCTGTGGATGTTTATCTTTCCTTGGACATTCATTTTCACAAGAACATTCCACAGTTTTAATCAATTTCTTTTTTTTAAGAACAAAGAATTTGGTGACTGAGTGAAGAGAGACAGCTGCCCTGATCCTGCCACAACCTGCTCAGCATAATGCAAGAGAGGCTGAGATTTCACAGGTGGACACAATCCAGTAGCTGCCTTTCAGCAATTGCCAGGATGGGGCATAAATAGCTCATCACTATTACTTGCTGCTGAGAACCTCATGTGATGGAAGGTTCTAGAAAGAGGTGTTGCAACTTCCTGTGCTGGGGCTTTTCCTGGGGCCTCTGATGAGATCTGCTGAATTCTTTTGCTGAGTATTTTTTTATAAAATAACTCTCCTTAAATTGGAAGGTTCTCATACACAGAATGGTGCCCAGTGAACCACAGGGTCCAAGGGCATCCTTGCTGGTGGTGGACAGTGACTCCTGGCCCCTAGCCGGAGCCCTCGGGGCTGCCTGGAGGGAGACCCTTGCCCAGGGGTGTCCTACCCTGAGGCTGCCTGAGCAGGCAGGACATTCATCTTGTGTGCTCTTCTCTGGCCACTGATCTGTCCTGGAGGAAGCCTTGGGCAGGACCCCCATCATTTCCAGTCTCCTCAAGGTCTCCCCTCAGACCCCAGCCACTCTGCTGCTTCCACTGACCTCAGAACAGCCTTTGGTTCCCCTGTTTCCCATCTAACGTGGGCCTGGGAGTCCCATCGACGGGGAGGCAGGCCATGTCTCCCAAGGCTGAAGAATATCTTCCCAGGGAGGCCTGCCCACTGGCCCCCAAGCCTGGAGCAGGCAGGTGTCCTCAGGGTCACATGGAGGGTTCACCCCCCCAGGGAACCAAAGGAAGAGTGCCACCTAAGCCTGTGCTCTGAGAGCAGCGATCCCTCACTGTGTGAGAGGTGGAGCCTCCTGCCGGGTGACCTGGCATCATCACCGAATGCCCAGTGCAACCAGGAGACTTAGTGGGAAGGGCAGGTGTGTTCTTTCTGGGAGGGAGCTAGCCAGGGGTCTATAATATCCAGAAGGAACCTCACCCCCTCAAAACCTTTCCTCATCACGTTTTCCTGACCATTGTCAGCTTTTATCCTTCCCATCAATTTAGGAGTCGTGTTTCAAGTTCCTAGTACACTTTCTGGGATGTTGAGTGAAAAGTGAAAGTGAAAGTCACTCAGTCCTGTTCCACTGTTTGTGACCCCATGGACTAGTCCTCCAGGGTCCTCTGTCCATGGGATTTTCCAGGCAAGAATACTGGAGTAGGTTGCCCTTCCCTTCTCCAGGGGATTTCCCCAACCCAGAGATCAAACCTGAGTCCCCTGCCTTGGAGGCAGATTCTCTGAGCCACCAGGATGTTGACTGAAAATAAATGAATGAGTGGGTTCATTCACAGTCCTGAACCACGCAGGGTCTCACTCCATGTGGAGCCAGGACAAGCTGGCCTGGTGAAGCCACCCCCTCTTCAGAAGCTTCCAGGATCCAATCCCACTCCCTGGGAGAACACCGTGTCACATGCACACAGCACGCGCGCGCACACACACACTCACACACACACACACACACACAGTGCTGGGGGGAGGGCCCCTAGGGCCTCCCACATGCTCTGCCTACAATGGGTGCTCAATCCCTGCAGTCCTGCTCAGAATTCCCTGCA